CAACAACAATAATAATGAAGACACCATTAATAGTGTGATATATTATTATTGTTGTTGTGTTTATAATTAGTGGGCAATTGATATATCAATGGATATGACGTATGGATAGTACAGTAATAACTAACTAACTAACTAACAAATAATATGATAATAATGTTTGATAATGTGATGGCCGTACAAATTGGTGGCACATTAGGCCACGTTTGACGCGCGTCAACACCACCACCACCACAACTACCAGTGCTTATATATCATTGATGCCCACATATTATTATTTGGTCCATCATTTGTTGTCTTGAGCTGAAGTGCTGCCACACATACACACTGCTTAAGTGTTGTTGTTGTTGTCGTCGGTGTCATGTGTTTAGTGACGACAAGTATTATTACTATTACTATTAATTGCTTCTTCATCAGCAGCAACAGCATAACCATACCATCAACGACACCGACACTACCGAAACCATATATATATCATAAGTAAATGTACGGACGGATTGTAACTCACGACCAAATGGTGGCACTGGTGGCCAAACAACAGCAACAACAATCGTCGCCGGCTTCTGGAGCAGGAGGAGTGCCACACCACAAACCGCCGCCGCCGCTGCCACCTGTGCTCGACATTAGCATCAGTACATCATCGATGATCATACCATCGATGGTTTCAACTACATTAACTAATACTACCACTACTGGAGCCGCCATTACAACACGGATACTGCCGCAACCGCCACTACCGCAGCCACCACCAAACCATCAGTTTCGTGAATCGCTAACCGGACCCTTACGAAAGTTAAGTGTGGATCTAATTAAGACATACAAACACATCAACGAAGTGTATTATACGAAAAAGAAACGTCGGGCTCAACAAACACATGGAGACAACGATGATGACGACCTGAACGACAAGTCCAGTAGCAATAAGAAGGAACGTAAACTGTATAACGATGGCTACGACGACGACAATCACGACTATATCATCAGAAATGGCGAAAAGTGTTTCTTCGATCGATACGAAATTGATTCACTSATCGGTAAGGGTTCGTTCGGTCAGGTAGTGAAAGCCTACGATCACGAAGATCAGTGTCATGTGGCCATCAAAATCATTAAAAATAAGAAACCATTTCTAAATCARGCACAGATTGAAGTGAAACTACTGGAAATGATGAACAATCACGAGTGCAATGGTACCACTTATTCATCGGTTGGCGGCAAAGACAAGATTGTCAAACTGAAAGGTCATTTTATGTGGAGGAATCATCTGTGTCTTGTATTTGAATTGTTATCATATAATTTATACGATTTGCTACGTAATACCAATTTTCGTGGCGTATCACTCAATTTGACCCGAAAGTTTGCTCAACAAATGTGTACAGCATTGATGTTCCTGTCCCAACGGGATCTATCGATTATACATTGCGATCTGAAACCCGAAAACATTTTACTATGCAGTCCGAAGCGTAGTGCCATCAAAATTGTCGACTTTGGTTCCAGTTGTCAATTGGGTAAACGTATCTACCAGTATATCCAGAGCCGATTCTATCGGTCGCCTGAAGTACTATTGGGTATACCCTACGACATGTCTATAGATATGTGGTCGTTGGGTTGTATACTTGTGGAAATGCATACAGGTGAACCATTGTTTAGCGGTGCCAACGAAGTGGATCAGTTGAATAAGATTGTCGAAGTAYTGGGTATGCCACCCAAACATTTATGTGACCAAGCTCATAAGGCTAGAAAATATTTTGATAAACTACCCGATCATACGATTGTCCTCAAAAAGACCAAGGATGGCAAAAAAGTAATTAATTAATTAATTTTATTAATAAAAAAATAATTATTTTTTTTATATATAATAATAAAAAAAACACAATTAATTAATTACATAACAACAACAACAAAAGTTATCAACAATTTAAATGTAGTTATTTTTTTAGTTATTTATATACAAAAAAAATATAYTTTAGTTATTGTAYTGTATATACTATACACACACACACACACACACACACACATGTATTTTGAAAGTTTCAATTTGAAATTATATATATATATATATATATATATATATTTTTAAAAACATGATTTTTTGACAATTTATATATTTTTTTTAATTTTTGAAAAGAGATATGATTTTTGCGATTTTAAACACTTTTGTCACTAACATACACAACAATTATTATTGTGTAATAATATATATATATATATATATATAATAATCTGTAGTACACAATATACTACTATCACTTATATTATATACAGTATATATATATTACATGATCTATACTTTAGATAAAGTTTTTTTTGATGCAATCATATATTGTTATGAACCCAGAATTTAATGACACGCTTTGATAGCTCTCTGATAGGAATTTCTTTATATATATACACACACTTGTAGTTAGTAGTAGTAGTAGTAGTGGTGGTTATGAATCATAAGTTAGTTTTTTTTAAATAAAAAAATATATTTTTTATTATTATTATTATATATTTATATTTTAATGAGATATATATACAGTCAGTAGTATATATATATAATACACTCTCTTTGAAACCAAAACCACATTATTTTATGAAATGGCAATCAAGTGAGGCGATACATACACACACACACACACACACAGAGAGAGAGAGACACAATCAAGTGTTGTTATATATATATACTAAAAAATATATATATAATAATATTATTATAAATTATATATGAATACAGTTATGTTTGAAATATGAGATATTAATTTGTTTTATTTTTTTTCCTATCCTATCAATATGATCAGTACAAATCTCCAGGTGCTCGTAAACTGAGTGATATATTGGGTGTGGAAACAGGAGGACCTGGTGGACGTCGTTTGGGCGAACCGGGCCATTCGGTGTCCGACTATCTGAAGTTCAAGGATCTGATACTACGGATGCTCGACTATAATCCTCAGACACGTATTACACCGTACAGTGCACTACAGCATAGCTTTTTCAGGCGAACCACTGATGAAAGTACCAACACATCCAACATCATCAACAACAACAACAACATCAATAGCACCAGTTCCAGTACAGACATTGAACAGGTATTCAATTTAATACAAATGCAAATATGATTTTTTTTTAAAAAAAAGAAATAACTTTTTGTTTGTTTTTTTAAATAAATATAATTATAACTGTATGATTATAAATATTTTTCATATTTATATTATTATTATAGATTACTTGTAAACCATTGGGTTATTTATTTCATAATGAATTCAAAATCATTAGTTCACCACAACATTCATCAAACACATTGAAATAATAACAATATCACAGATCCGGAGATTGTATCATCACTTGACTACTGTCCAGTAGTAGTAGTAGTAGTAGTATCGGTAGTCACCACCCGATAGAGAGAGAGAGAGAGAGATAGGTTGTAATAGTATAGTACATTACCATCACATTTGTCTGTATAAAAAAACAACAACAACAACCAAAAAAGTCATATTTAAAAATGTATATTAAAAAATAAAATAATTTAAATTAATTTATAACTATAAATCAATTTTTATGTACAATATATTTATATATATATATACACAGTATATTTAAGGCAATTTTGTTATTAAATAATAATTGGTATTATCATGATTCAAAAAAAATAAATTAATTTAAATAAAATTTTTTAACCATGTACATTTTTTAAATAAATTGAATGACTGATTGACCCTCCCCCTACCCGGGTGGTGGTGTTACCCCCYATAATTGATATGATCCTCTGAATCTGTGATGGGACACTTTATTATTATAATTATTTTAAATTATTTCAATATGTATTATCTCACCACACATTATCATCATCATAAGATAAAAAGATAGTTTGGTTTTAATCAAATTTTTTGTAAATTATTACTATTATTATTATTATAGATAATAATAATAATGATAATAATAATAAATATCTCAAATTGTCTCTCATTTTTTTTTTGTTCATTAGTTGAATATTATATATAATTAGTTAATATATATATATAAATATATCATGATTTTTGTTATTATATATATATATATATCATTATTTATTGCCATTATTTTTATTAATAATAATAATAATAATTTAAATGAAAAAAAATAAATAAAATAATAATAATAATACACTAAAAATTAACACTAAAAAATGAGAGAAAAAAAGTTAATTTGATTTTGTTTTTCAAATCATTTGAAAAAAATATTTGAATAATAAAAACAATTATTATTATTATTATAAATAAATATAAATAAATAATATTTCATATGTTTTAATAAGAAAATTGGTTGACTATAAATTAATTGATTAATTAATTAATAAATAAAAAAAACGTAAATAATAAAAACAAAAACAATTATTTAAAAACTAACCATGTTCAAAAATTTATTTWATAATAAATTATTATTATTATTATAACGTTATTGATGTGTATATGTATTTGTATATTCAAAAACTTGATATATTATTATTGTATTGAAAACTAAAAACCAAAAAAATTTTAGCGCTTTTTTCAGTTTATGAGAGGGAAGTCATGGATTGGGCGCCAATTGATCCCATAATACATATCAAAAACAACAGTTCCTTCATATAAACCATACAACACTGTCGTTGTTATTATCATTGTTTGCCATATATTCACATTAAAGCCATACATATGTGTGAATGTGTGGTAACTTTTAAATTGGTTTTTAAATAAAAACATTTAATTAGTTTTAGTTTTAAACAATCAATCAATGAATTGTTGTCAATATATTAGTTGTTATTTGTATTAGTAATTGATTTTTAAATGTTTTTGACAATCAAATCAAATATATATTTTTAAGTATCATATCTGAACTGTCCGTCCGTCCCATCAATTGAATCGGTTGACTGTCCACCTGTCCGTCCGTCCCATCAATCAATCGGTTAAATATATAAAAACAATGTCTTTAGTAAACGAGCGGTCAGTTTTCGCTAATTTGAACGCCCGAAGTGAACTGGAACTGTTGGACAATATCTACGGTTAGTACTTGACCTGCCATTGACCAGWCAATTGATYTGACCATTTGATTTATATACCCAAATAGATCGCATCATAATTACCGATAACAGCGCTAATATACTCAATATATTAGCCGAATCTTCGGCCATCAATCCCGACGAGGATATCATACGTAAGAGAGGCCGCCGAAAGACGCCAAAGTTGTCGCAACTGCCGCTCAGGCGATCGCCGCGAAAAGCGCCCTCAAGTATTGGTTACCAACGATCGGCGGCAGCGGCATCGGTGTCGATGGACTTGAGTACCGATGAGACTGCGTCGACGACTACGGCTACGGCATCGCACGATTACTTTTTGAGGACACCAAAGAAAACGCCGACCAAATCGTTGTTTAGCCGAACACCTAGAAAGACGCCGTCGAAGAGCGCCGGGTCTGCGGCGGTCAATACGCCATCAAAACTACGMGTATCTCCGCGAAAACGTCTACAATTGGACGGCGACGACAGCGGTATCGGTTTGACACCGACTTATTTGTCACCCGATTATTTACAAGACATTACTACTCCRTCMACTAGTGGTTACAAATCATCAAAATCGTCGGCCGCATCGGCCAACACAACAACCGTTCAAAAGTCGAAAAGCGGTTCAAAGAGTGCTTCAGTTATTTCTCGGCGAAGACGTCGCCGATATTTTTAACAAAAAAATTATTAWTTTTTTGCAATTTTTAAGTTCAATTTAAGTCCCCTTTTATTGCTATCATTTTTTTATACAATTTTTTTTATCGATTATTATCTCTCATATATATACACCCATTGAAACAACGATTTATCAGTAATAATAATAATAATAATAAAGTTTTTTAAAATTATTTAGATTTTATTACCGTATTATATATATATAATACAGTAAAAAATTATAACTTTTTGATTGCATATATATATATATATGTTTGATGTCTTTTTTTTGTTGTGTGTCGTGTATGTGAAATCAAACGGTATATTTTATATTGAATTGAATTTATTATTTTATTTTTTAAAAAAATAAATAAATTTTTTTATTAGTAATTTTAATGTTAATGTTACACCCAATGGATTATTATTATTATTAATAATAATAAACTGAATGCAAGCAAATTAATAATAATAACGTAATTATTATTTATTACAAATTTTTTTATGATAAACAACAGTATTTTATATTAAAATATGAATTTATTATTTAAAAAAAAAKTTTATTATTATTATATTTATATTACCATTAAAAAAAGTTTTTATATAAACCCTGATTATATAAATATTTTAATTTTCATTGCCATTCACTTAACATTATCTAAAGTTAGTTTAATTAATTTATTAATTAAGGATAGGTTTTAATTACATAATGCTAGACATTATTTACATATAAAAAGCATTTAGAGGTAAATAAAAAAAAGTTTAAAAAGTTTATAAATGTTGTATTTATTTAGTAATTGTTTAGTAAGTATATTCACCTTGTTACTATTATTATGTGTATTATATATATATATTTACAAAAAAAATAAAAATTAAATTTCCATATAAACTTAGAAAATTAAAGCAAACATTGATTTTAAATAACTAACTTATTTAAAAACTATCAATGAATATACAGTACTACTACTACTACTAATAATAATAATAATAATAATAATAATAATAATTTAATTAATTAATTTAAAAAATTGATTAAATAAAAATAATTAACAATTATAGAAATAATTTCAATATAACTTTAATAATATATATAACTTTAATAGCTCCTGAAATTTTTTGTTGTTATTATTATTATTATTAAAAATAATTTTTAATAACAAAATGCTAATTTATTTTTATTTGAATTAAACTTTTAAAATTGAAATTGATATTAATTTAAGAAAAAAGTTGGTATTATTATTTTTTTCGTGTAATTTTTTATACATGTTTAAGTGGAAATTTACTATAAATGAATCACTAATAATGTTTATATATATATATATATACTGATAATTATTTAGGATCTCATATCATGAAGAAAAAAATTAATTATTATTTTTTCGTTAAGTATAGACAAAAAAAATCACTTATAAATATATGCGTGAATCACTTAAGTATAACATAGTTAATTGAATAACCATTACAATTACTTGGATTTTTATGTATATATATTTTTTTGATTAAGTTTATTAAGTTTAACATGAATTTGCCATTTAGTATACACCAGTAATAATAATAATATTAAAAAAACTGATGTTTTAATACCACCAGTAATATACTAACAGTATATCAGTGTTATACTGACTGATTTGATATATTATTATTATATTATAGTAGACATTCATTTTTTTTTGTAGCAATCAATCAGTCAAGTCAATCATGAAATTAATTAATAAATTAATATTAATAATCAATTTATATGCAATTTGTCTGCTATTATTGACGTCATATATATCTGCGACAACCGTTGAAAGCCACGAAAAAAGCCAATTCAGACAATTGGACGACTTTTTGACGGAAAGTGTCAATAATTTTAAGTTAGATTTTCACCGATCGTTTGAAGAGTCAAGGATTAGACACAAACAAAAAGATAATTTTATATATTCAGTACCAGAAAGAGATGGTAATGTTTATTATGATTATTATTATTATTATTTTGAATGACATTTAATTATAATATTTTATATGAATTTTGTTAAACAAAATTATTATTTTAATCTTTTTTAATCTATTTTCTTATTTTAATGATATAAAATACATTATTCATGACATTATATAATATATATTATATATCATATATAGGGCTAACACAACAATATTTAAAAGTAGTGAACACTTCAGCTGTTTTTCCAAGTAATGTATTGTCTAATGATAGTCCCAATGGACCGATCAAAATGTGGACAATCATTGAAAATTCATTATACTATACGTACCTGTTTTGGGGTCATTCAAACGGTATGCTATGTTTAGCTGATTTCAAGTATACAGCGCTGGGATCACCACAGATCCAACCGTTGGCCAACTTTCGTGAGGCCGGCAACGGTGTACCGTTTAAGTCACAGTATTTCGTCTACGAGACATACATATGGCTAGCGGTAGCCTTTCGTACCGCTCAGCGGGAATACTTGGCTGTCTATCAGTATAGTCCGGGTGGTCATACATTTCATCGACGGCAGACCATCGAAATGGACATCCAAAGTGATTTTGATATAATATTTGCCGGCAATACCTATATGGCTATTAGTTCGTACATGAAACGGACATCCGATGGCCAGACATTACAGTCGGCGGTAAAGTTGTTTGAATGGCGTCACACACAGTTCGACTATGTAGCCGAAGAAAAGACAATATCGGCCACTTCGGTCAAGTTGTTCAATATGGCCGGCACTCTGTATATCAGTGTTGGCCAGGATGTCAATCGATCCATGAGCTGGCAGACAGACTATTATAACCAATTTCCAGTCCGGGGTTCACCTATTTATCTGTACAATACACGCAACGAAGGAGGAAAACTAACATATGTTCAGCTGATACCGCATTTTGCCACAAAAGTCAATCACTTTCGAGTTCACGGAAATAATTATCTGGTATTTGTCGACTCGAAAGATATCAGTCGTATCTATTGGTGGTCTGGCGACCAGTTTCTCATATATCAGGATCTGATTGAAACCCGTCACGCCATCGATGTCTCGATTGCTACACTACCTAACTCTGAGATACTGTTGGCATTTGTTATGGCAAATAGGGTACAGTTTTTTACTGAAGCACCCAATGCTCAGTACAAACTTAACGGCCAGTTTAGGATACCCGATCAGCGAGGCTTCCGAAATGTTCAACTATTTTCACATTTGAAGACCAATTATTTTTGTGTTTTTACATTTGATGATCAGTGGAAAAAACCAATGGAAACAATATGGAAGCTGAGACTGATTACTGGTCAGGAAGTATTGGATCCAAAATATTTTGATCCGTTAAGGTCTTGTCTGATTAGTTTAGAGCAATCACTGTCGAAACGCGAAGAAGGATTGAAAGAGTTGACCAAACAAGCGGACAGAGTCTGGTTGGCCAACAGTGGTCAAGAAGTGAAAGCACCGGTGGTTATCAAAGGCAATGTCAAAGTTGTTAATTCATTGAAAGCTCAATCAGTTGTTTTAGTAGTAAATAATGGACAGAAAAAAGTGCCTCAAATAACCAACAGTGATGTCAAGTCACGAATTGATGGGCTTTCAAATAATTTGAATTCTGTAACTAAAACAACAAATAATTTGGTGTTTAAATCACTGAATCAGACAATTAGCGGACGTATAGTGTTTACTGAAGCCATTAGTGTCGGACAGTCGACTATTAAAAAGATTACAAACACTGACTTATTATTGAACAGTATTTCAGTGAATTCATTAGCAGATGATAATAGTTGGCTAAAAATAAATGGCAATCAAGTAATTAAAGCTCACATTTCATTTAATAATGGCTTATCGGCGGATCAATTACTGGTTAGTCAGCGCATCAATAAATTGAATGTTAGCGACGCCTTAATGGCCAGTAGTGATGGGCCACACCTACATCAAGTAGTGACTGGCAATCATCGCTATACTAGCGATGTTATACTCAACTCTAATTTATTACTTCATAATCAATTTGGTCAAATCAATGGCATAAATCCTCAGCAATTTGTTAATAAAATGCAAATCAATCAACAGATTGGCGGAAGAAAAACATTTCAAGTATTAGATTCAAAATCTATTGACTTAACAACTGGTAATCTAAATGATAGAAAGCTCAGGGATGTTGCCAACAGAGTTGTCTATCTGAGTGGTCCTTCCGACCAAGTGATTACTGGTCAATGGATACTGGATATACCGACAAGTGTTAACCGTATTGAACTTAGAGGACTGATTAACCGGAAGGTTAATATAACGGAACTGGCCTACAATGCGGTTACTATTTATGGCGAACAGAATATTACTGGACAAAAGACATTCAAAGCACCGGTACGTGTTTTAGGTGATATTAGGATAGCCGGTACTGTCAATGGTATTAAATTGGGCAAAGATGTTATTACAACAAACAGCCGGCAAGTGATTACAGGAAACTTGGAGTTCAGAGCACCGGTAGAGTTCATGGCCAATGTGGAGACAGATTTTGTAAACGGTATGGATTTAAGTGCCGACAGTATACTAAAGGATACACCAAAACCGCAAGTTTTGAATCGTAAAGTGTTTAACCAGTCTATTGATGTCGTAAATGACATAACTATGGCTCCGGGAAGTACTCTGGATGGTGTAGATCCATCAGAGCTACTAAAAAGTGTCATAAGCAATAAAAATACTGTTTTTACAGCACCGGTTAGTATCAATAAACTAAAGATCACCGGCGGAAATATCTTTGCCAAACGTGTCAATCAGTTTGCTATTAGCGATTTGCCTCACATTTTATGGCTAAAGTCGGCTAACCAGACAATCCGAGTACCGGTACTTTTTAGTGGTAATGCCATTAAAATAAAACAATTTCAGTCATCAAATGTTAACGGTTTTCGTATACCCAATGATTTTGTTCATAAACATCAACAACAACAAGATAGTGAAACAATTTTAGGCCAAAAAATATTTGCTGATCGCGTAACCATTAAGGGAAATGTTGAACAAATTGATGGCAAAAAAGTCAATCGCATTGATCTGCCAGTCTTTTCAAGGCAAGTCGTCAAAAAGGAGTCGTCAATAATCATTAATAATGACAATAATAATAATAATAATATTAGTGATTATATTTGGGGTACAAAACAGTTTCACAATCTTAACATTTTAGGCAATGTTATCGCTGGCAGTGTTAATGATTTAGACCTAACCACAGATGTGATGCTAACAAATACTAGTCAAACAATTAATGGTTTAATAAGATTAATGAGTCCCACGACTTGGATAACTGGTTCACTGAAAGTCATGTCCAATATTAATGTTAAGACAACTGTTAATAACTACTCGTTATCGCTATTGGCTAATGAGTTGGTCCTAACTAATCGATGGCCGTATTGGCATCAGAGACCTATCATTAATAAACAGTTTGTCAATGGTATCGGTGGTCAACATATGACTGCCATGGGTTTAGTTAGTGATGTTAGTATCGATCTGATGAAAGCTAAAGTTGTAACTATTAATAGTGAACAACAAGTTTTTTCAGCAAAAAACTATACATCAGTTGTTAGGTTTGACAGCGATTTGTTAAGCGATTATTTAAATGATCTGAAAATACATGATTTTGCCGATAAAGTTGTTATGAAAAACCGGAAAACATTGGTTCGCGGATTTAAGACATTCAGCGGTCAGTTAGACTTGAAATCAGATTTAGTAATAAAAGGTGGACTTATTAATGGTATGGATGTTCAGTCGCTGCAGAGGACGATAATGTCAAGAACCAGAGATAATGTGATTCTGGCACCGATGAAGTTTGCCAATGATATCAATGCTATACTATTGACTGTCGATAAGGGACGGGCAACTATTGACGGCCTGAGCCCATTACAGTTGGCATTAATAGGTAACGATATGATATTAAGTGGTAATAATCAGTTTAATAGGAATCTATCAGTAAGTGGTGATATAAATATTACTAAAACCATCAATGGATGCGATTTAAGACAACTGGCTATGAGTGCAGTACTTAATAATAATAATAATAATGATAATAAAAATCACATACAAAGTATATACGGTGGCAAAGATTTTCATAGTCTACAAGTTATGGGAAACATTATCATCGATGGACTCGTTAATGGTCTGGACATTCATAAATTGCTTGCACGGGTAGTTACCCGTACTGGCGATCAAGTGATAACAGCACCGTCGATGACTTTTCTAAATGATGTCGTTGTTGATGAGCTAATTATTAACGGACTAATTAATGGTCATAATATTACACAACTATTCAATGATGTCGTTGTCAGGAGTAGACCGCAAACTATTTCAGGGCGAAAGCAATTTCTTAAGCCTATAGTGGCTTCAGGTTTGCGCACACAAGTGGATCAATATGTTGCTTGTGTTGATGGACTGGTGAATGGCGTGAATGTCCAACAACTTAATGCTACATCAGTTAGAAGACATCAATCGCCGACAACAACAACACCGACAATGACAACAACACAAGCAATTACTGGCGTCAAGACATTTGCCGGAAGAGTTAGTTTTAAGAGAAATGTCTTAATTGGCGGTTCAGTGGGTGGACTGCGACTGCCAAACGATCTGATTCTCGTCAATACAGATGAATTGATTACTGGTGTCACACACATACATAACGGCACGATTACAGGCATGAAATCTATGACTGTCACCAAAATGATTGATGGCATCGATTTGTCTTATTTTGCCAAAAATCGACTAACGATTAGCGATCAAAATGAATTGATTGAATCGATAGTTGATTTTCAAAATAGTTTGATAATTGATAGGTTGATCGTTAAGAAATCGATAAATGGTATACCAATTGATGGATTTGTCACTACTAGAGGAGGAGGAGGAAGACACCTAATAAATGGTTTGAAAAGTTTTGCAACTGATCTCTATGTTAGAGGAAATATTCAGTCGCCCGGTGTCTACAATGGAGTTAATATACACCAACTAAGCAATAGGGCTGTCAGTCTGGATCAGCCGGAAACTGTTCCCGGATTTGTTGACTTTCAGACACCAGTTAATATGTATCAAATGCATATCAATGGCCTATTGAACGGTTACGATATATCAGATATGGCCAACTTTTTCAATACATATACAATCAAAGTTAACCAATTGATTGATATGATAAGAAAACAAATCCATAGACAGGGATCAGACTTGGATAGACAATTTGCCGCTCATCTCATTGATAGATCATCGGGTAATACATTTAAAAAACATTTTTATTCAATTGATTTTTTGTTTTCAATACTTATTTTATTTTTATATATTTATATATATATATATATATATATATATAGGAATTGATTATTTTGTCACTGAAGATGGCTATGAACTGAATCCTGCATTCAATCAACGAATCAATGATAACAACAATCAGAGCACTGGTATATATCTGGAGACCAATAGTCCTCGTCATCTATACTTCATAACAGCCGATCAAAGGACTAAACGTTTTGCTGATAATAATAATTGCAATGAATTGAATGGCTATTATTCACAACGATTACATGTTTTACTATTCAATGGCAAAACTTATGATCTGAATCAAGTAGTGGACATTCCCGGTGTTAACTACTTGGACTCGTTTACCGTATCTAATCTGACATATGTTGTTGCGGCCAGTCATCTATTGGGACAGACTTTTATCCTTCAGTACAGAGGCTATAATAAGTTTGAAATAATTCAGACACTGTCGACACCGGGCGTTGAAATGGTAAAAGTCTTCTGGAGTCCACACGATATTAAACTACATATTATGATCACATCGTCGTCGTCGGTGTCGTCACCGCTACCGTCGCCGATGTTTGGCCAACAAAAGTCAACAAAAGTCATGACAGCTGTTATCAGTGGATCCAATAATTATTTCAAAAAGTATTCAACTATTGATCAGTTACTTAGAGATCAGCCAAAAGATATTTTTAAAAAAAATTGAATTTAAAAAAGTTTGAATTTATTGAACACTACTTAAGAAATTTTTTTATGACTATTCAATTAATAACTTAATAATGTTTTTTTTAATTTTTATAATTATACCTAAACTATATATATATATTTATATTTGTGATATCTTATGACACAGATTTGCGTTTTAATTAATTACAAGATTTTATTTTTTTTATTTTATTTAAAAATTTATTAATATACTATATTATATAACTTATGTACAATTGTGATATATATTACTGTAAGTTATTAAATTAAAAGATTATAATAATAATAATTTATATATAATGTTAAAATATTAGCTAATGTTAATAATTTAATTAATTAACTCTATTTTTGTTAAGATTTTGTTTGTTTGTTTTCTAATAATATTAATTTATTTAATTTATAAATGATATAAGTGTAATTTACTATGCAATTAAATAAACAATTTAATTAATTTTATATTAAATCTACAATTATTGTTATTAATCGTTAATTTACTAAATATTAAGTTTAATTCAATTTATATTTAATTATGTTTAAAAAAAACTATTTAAATACACAATGAAATCATAAAACACAATAAAACTATATTAAATCAATTGAAATATTAATTTTTAATTAAAGTAGATTTAATAATTAGAAAATTATCATTTAAATTATTGATAAATATTTTTTAAGAATAATTAATCTAAACAATAGTTTATTTTAATTAATTAATTAATTAATACTAAATTATTTTCAACTAATTTTTTTTAAATTTTATAAATATAATATTTGTATATTGAAACACTAGATGGAAACCTATTATCAATATAAGTATTATTTGCATTGAAATTTTGAACTTTGAACTAAAAAAAATGCTCATGGTCAATTTAATAAAGTGGAAAACTTTATTTTTTAATCAATAATAATAATATATTTCAAATTTAATTTGTTTATAAAATTATTAAAAAATTTAAATATACTTTACTAATATAAATTATATACATATATCTATAAATATATATATATATATATATTGAAATAATATGGAAATTTTTAAAATGAAATTTATAATTTATTTTTATTTAATTAATAAATATTATGATCAACAAATTTATTTTACAAATAAATACATTAAATTATCATTATTATTTGTTTTGTTTGTTTATTAAATCTAATGTATTTATATGACATATACATTATTAATTTATTTATATTTAGTTACGAATTTTACAATTAAAAAAACAAACTATATTTACATACATTTTACTTTAAAATTTTTATCAAAACATGAATCATAATTATTTATTTACATATTTATAAATTATTATTATTTTTATTATTATTTTATGTTTGACACGTTTGAATGGACTTTATTTAGTAAATATTATTATTTATTTATTTATTTTTATAATAATAAATAATTATTATTATTGATGTTGTTGTTGGTTGTTGTGGTAGTGTTAAGTGTCTATCATTGTATGAAACAATTGTATGTATAAATTAAATTTATTACTATATAAATAATAAGTTACTAATTGGGGGGAAAAAATCTAAACAATATGTTAAATAAATTAATATTTAAAAAAATTATAAAATAAAACAATATTTTTTCACAGAAAATAAAACCAAAATGTTTTATAGAATTAATTTTATAAATTGTTTTTATTTTATTTTGTTTTTTTATATCATTAGAGTTTTTGTTTTGTAATATTTGATAATAAGTTTGTTGTTGTTGTCTAACATTTTTCTGTCTGAAACAAAACTATTATATTTTGAGTGAAGATTTTTTTTTGATAGTTTTTTTTTACTTTTTCTAATATATATAAAAAATTATATATTTTATCAGCAAAAAAATCACGATATTATCATCAGTAACAACAACATCAACAACAACACATACTTTTATGATATGAGTATCGGGTGTTATGAGAGAGCGAGAGAGAGAGAGAGAGAGAGAGATAGAGAGAGAGAGAGAGATAGGAAATACTGTATTTTCACAACAAAAAGTTTTTCATATATTATATATCATATATAATATATAATATATATATGAGATATAACTGGTTTCTATCGTTAATATGATGCTAACAGCTGTTGTGTGTATTATATTTTGATATCATATATACGATGAAAATCGTTTCTCAACACAAAACTTTTTTGCTCTCTCTCTCTCTCTCTCTCTCTCTCTCTCTCTTACTATAGAGATATCAAAACTTCTGGTGTCTCCATATCGTATGACATATCGCCAACGCATCAACTTTTGGTATGTATTATATATATAATATATATAATAATAAAAAACTGATATTAAAGTATACGACAATAACAACAACAAAATCTATGGATATCTCTTTGATGTCACACTTTTCTATGATGTTTAGCGCCAACGATCTCTTATATATATATTGTGTTATATATACGGTATATATATATATAAATTTGGATGTGATGTCCATATCATATGTACGATCAGTCAATTCATGCATTTAGCCATAAAAATTCATTGCATACATGAAAATATATATATATATATAAATATTTTTGTCATTTTGTCAAAAAAAAGTTGTATTTCTATTGTTTATCTAATTATTGTTTGTTTGTTGTTGTAATCTCTTGTTTTTTTTCTCTGATCCCATAATTAGATTGATATTAAGAGAGAGAGAGAGAGAGAGAGAGAGAGAGAGAGAGAGAGAGAGAGAGAGAGACCAATCAATTTGTTTGCTATTATTATTATTATAATTATATATATATATGTATTGTTATATACAATATATATATATATAAATTAGGTCTTCGGAAATGATGAGGAATTTTTATCATAACTTTTCTCTCTTTTATTTATAATAAAATATTTTATGTTTTATATTCACATCCTTTTCATCGATGTATTCATTCATTCATTCATTCATTTATTTATTATATTTTTTTTGTGATTCCGTTTGCAAAACATTTTTATATAATTTCGTTTTTATTGTATTTTATCTCTCATTTCTAATACAGTATATTCTGTATATATATATAACAATATATTATGTATTATTGGACTTTTCTCTTGTTGTATGCTATCATCACTTTCTCCCCCCATATAAAGACATTGTATGATAATAACAATAAACAATACATTTTTTGAAAATCCCAAAAATGTTTTTGAAAATGTATGACTTGTTTTGTTTGCAACACACAAAATAAAGGGATGAAAATCTTGTTATTTGTTTTATACAAATCGCTTATACAGTTATAACAACTTATTCTCTTATTTTCTGATTATTGACAACAGAATATATATATATATATATATAATATTATATTGTATTATATATTTTTAAAAAAAAAGTTTTTATATCATTGTTATTGTTGTTTGAAATTATATTGTATATAAAATATATGATAAAACTGTACACACATTATACAGCTATTGTTAAAACCAATTATTATTGTTTTGATGACTTTTGTTGTGAATCTTTCTGTATTAATGTTATTACATTAATGTATTATTATTATTATTATTATTACAATATATATAAGACATATATAAAGTAAATGCATTTAAAAAACATTGACTTTTCATTTAGTATTTCATTTCACGTATTTGTAAACCAAACAACAAACAAACAAAAAAATCATATATAATAATATTTCATACATGTATATAATATACAGAATATATATATATATATGTAATATAAAAATCCAATATATTATTATTATTATTATTATTATTTCACATTTTGTTTTCTTCCCCATCAAACAAACAAACTAACAAAAATCGTTTATACAGTTTATACAGTCGTTTTTTTTTATCTACCGGTGCCGCCTCTCAGTTTTGTCAGCTGTTTATTAGTAGTTGTCGTCGTTGTTGTCGATGATATGATGTCGTCGTCGTCATTGTCGACCAGATCCCTGTGTCGACCATTACTGATGTGACAAACATTAATGTCTGATATATTAGTGGCGTTATAGTCATTATCATTAATAATAGTTGTTGTTGTGTTTTGTCGCCAAACAATGTCGAAGAATAGCCTATATATAAAAAAAAATTGAAAAATGATTTGTTTGTTTGAAACCAATTTTATTTTCTATCTATTTATATATTAAGACTTAAGAGTAAAATGTCGTTTAGAGTGAAACATAAAACAAAATTAAATCAAAAAAATAAATAAATAGTAAACGCAATGAACAGCTCATTAAATAACTCACAAAAATAATAATAGTATTAAACAATTGTATTAAAAAAAATAAAAAAAATTTATAGCTAAAAAACTATATATCTTTTCCTCTCTCTCTCTCTCTATTGTCAACACTTCTACTACTATTTATTTGCTAATATTGTCTGACATTTGATTGTCAGACAAACAAACTGGTGGTTCACTACACATATCTATCTTTTTTTTTAAAAAAAGTCAACGAAAAAAAACTGTCGGATAAGACATTAACACCTAATTACTTAATACGGGTTTATATTTATTAGTGATGCCAACAACAATAATACTATACTATACTCTATGATTATCTTTCAAAAAAAATAATTGAATTTATAAGTTAACACTTCAAGGGTCTCAAGGGTGACTAACTTTTCACATATAAAAATACGGTATAATATTAACGCTAAAAATTTTAGGCAAAAAATACTATTAAAAAACTTTTATCTCTTAGAATTTTAACTAAAATTTCTACATTTTAACTATAAATTCTGTATTTTAACTATAAATTCTATTTTAACTCAAATTTCTGTATTTTTAACTAAAAATTCTATTTTAACTATAAATTCTGTATTTTAACTAAAATTTCTACATTTTTAACTATAAATTCTGTATTTTAACTACAATTTCTACATTTTATCTATAAATTCTATAATTTTAACTATAAATTCTGTATTTTTAACTATAAATTCTGTATTTTTAACTATAAATTCTGTATTTTTAACTATAAAATCTGTATTTTTTAACTAAAAATTCTGTGATAACTAAACTACTAATACTACTACTAATACTGTTTGGTGGTAACACTGGTTGACTGACTATTGGTATTGAAATGGACAATTGAAATGACACATTTGGGCACTGGTATGCAATGATCTGATGTTAGTGATTGTCTCCAATAATAATAATAATCTATACAAACCTTTTGAAATGGAAAAACTGGCGACCGTTACGTTTACCGATACTAAGGCTTCATCTGTGCCTTTGGTGTTCATCACTATAAACAATACGTCACCAGAATCTTCAGGTTTTACCGACGATATCTCAAATGTCGACATAAAACAGTTCATTGAATCGCTTGACTGATAATAAATATATATAAAATAAATATATAAGTTATCAGAAAAAAAACATATAATACATACACACATATATTGACAGATATTGCTTTTGATATATAAATTATTTACAACAAGAAATCAATGAAAGAACAGCGGGAGAGGAGAGAGAGAGAGAGAGAGAGAGAGAGAGAGAGAGAGATAAAGTACAAGAAATAGATAATTATAAAAGTAATGTCAAATAATAATACATTCAGTTTACGAGTCACTAATAAATAGTATGGACTTATTGTCCGTATATATTATACAGTATTATATATATATATATATATCATATAATGCTATACAGGAATTGGATTTTTATTATTTTCATTATTATTATTAGTAATATTATTAGTAATACTTTAGTGTTAGTAATGAGTTTAGGAATCGACAGGAATTTATTTTGTCTCTACTATTAATATACAGTTGAATGAACTAAATATATATGATATATAACATATATATAGTGTATAAATAGTATATATATGTATTGATGAACCAACAATACAAACCATAATCAACTCTCTTGTATGATATGGTCCTATCGTCCGCTGAGGCATTAGTGCCAAATGTCTGTGAATCCAATAAACTTTTTTCGGTCGCGGCTGACAACAAAAACGGGCGGCCAATGTTATCTGACTGCCGACCAATGCAATCACTGTCCGATTGATAAACTCGATGGTCGGCTGACCGATGTTTATATTGCTATTTTTGTTATTGCAATCGGTTGACTGATGATGATGTTGGCTACTGGTTACCGATAGTGGACTGATATTTGATTTATCACTTAACTTGAAATTATTATTATTATTAGACTCTTTGGATGGATCGTAGGATTTCATGCCGAGTGCCGCCTCATTTGGGTCGCCATCGCTGGCAATCCTTTCGTTATTATTATTATCGATTGTATCGTCGGTGTTGTCGTGTTTTATGGGCACTAATGGTGATCTCAATATATGCTCCATTTCTTGCATTTCGGCTAAATATAAGAGACAAAAATAGAGAGAGAGATAATAAAAACACATTTCATTTAATTAATGGTAACTATAATTGAAAGAACATATACTAAAGGAATAGTATATCATTTTATTATTAAGACTCTCTCTCTCTCTCTCTCTCTCTCTCTCTCTCTCTCTCTTTCCTTTCGTTTCTAATCTCTATAATAATGATAATAATAATAATAATAATAATAAAGATTTTGTTTGACAATTATTGTGGAGTCAAAAGCGCTATTATAAGAGAGAGAGAGAGAGAGAGAGAGAGAGAGAGAGAGAGAGAGAGAGAGAGAGAGAGAGAGAGAGAGAGAGAGACTAAATATATTGATAATAAAGTTATACGCTTTTCATTCAATATAATAATAATAATACTGTACTAATAATACAGTACTAAATGATAGATACACACACACACACACACACACACACACACACACACACACACACACACACACACACACACACACACACACACACACACACACACACACACACACACACACACACACACACACACACACACACACACACACACACACTCACAAAGACTAAAATAATTGTCTGACTTTTTGTCTTTTAAAACTAAAATCTAGTAATCATTTCAACAAATGTCACGTATTTTTTAAAATAAAAAGTAATCTCTTTTAATAGACATTATATACTATATATATATATACTTTATATAACTTATTAGTATTTGAATTAACTGGAGGGGACAGGCGTTGTGTGTACTGTATATATATATATATCAATATTATATATACTAAAATAATATATATATATAAACGTGAAAAATATTTATATTAAAAAATATTATGCAATTTCTATTACTTGTAGACATACTAATACATAATAAATATTGAGAGAGAAAGAGAGCTCTCCTCACGTAATGTTTTTAATATCAATTGTCACGATATTTGATAAAAAAAAATTTAAATGTATTGCTACTTAAACAGCAAAAAAAATTCAACATTAAAACAAAATCACATGCTATTTGATATACAGTAGTATTAATTTATTTTGATTTTTGCATAACTAATCCTAATTTAGTTTGTTTTTTTCAGATACATTGATCACTTGGGAACAGTCTGTATATATATATATATATCTCAAAGTATGAGAATCTGGAGACCGACCCTACAGTCCAATTAAATTTATGATTTTAAAAAATGATTGATAAACTACAACAACAACAACAAACTGATGATCTGATCTTTAAGGACAACAACTACAACAACAAACAATACTTACAGGACTTGCGGACATTGAGATAGTAGCCAAACGATGTAAAATAGCCGAACTCATGTTCAGTGGTACACTTATACCAACCGCTATCCGATTTGGATATATGTCCAAAATGTAACGTTCCCTCACTGTCCGTATCCAATTGCGGAAGACTAGTAGCATTGGTCAGGGATGGTTCGGCATCCCGGTGCCATTTGGCCGGACTATGCGGGTTGGCATCGATTTCGCAGCGCAACGATACAGGCATTCCCTCGATTATCGGATAACCAAAACCAGGTTCACGTGTTATGGAAAATGCCGGCACGTCTTCAATAAACAACAAAATAAGAGAAAAAGATATATAAGTTTAAGTTTAAAAGTCAATTAAATGAGAGTCAATCGGGAGGTGAGAGTCAAGTAGTTATGGATGAGATGTAATTCAATGTGATTGAAGAGGAAAGWGAGAGAGAGAGAGAGAGAGAGAGAGAAGAGAGAGAGAGAGAGAGAGAGAGAGAGAGAGAATTACAGCAAAAATTAATTAAATGTATTACTACTACTACTTTTTACTACTAATACAATTATAGTGTGCAAAATAATAAAACTAAAAAAATAACAAATTTAAGACAAATGTGTTTTAAGTCATCAAATGCTACCATTTTTTTGGTTGTTGTTTTGTTACTATTAATACAAAGTTATCTTAAGTACAAAAATTAAATACAAAAACCTAATTAATTTGTGTATATCTATGCTTATGTATACCCTGTGTTCCCCTCTCCCTCTCTCTCTTTCTCTCTATATTTAATTGAATCCTAAAGTTATTTAATTGAATTTTTCTCCAATTAGTTGTAAATTAAATTCATGTTGTTTTTAGCTATTTTATTGCTCATCATTACTATTCACACACAATCATTGATTTCTTTTTTTATTGTTTTTTATATATTATTATAATTTCTACGCTAAACTCTCTCTCTCTCTCTCTCTCTCTCTCTCTCTCTCTCTCTCTCTCTATATATATATATATATTATTAATTAGTTTTTCCTAATATTCATTCATTATGTGCTTATACTGTATATTCAGTATTAAAGTATTTTTTTATTATTATTATTATTTTAGCTCAACTATAGGGATGGATCCCTAATAGTATATATATATATAATATATATTATATATGGTATTAATTACAATGTGGTTTAATGAGACAGAAAAATTAATCACTGGGCTTATGTATGTATGTRTGTGTGTATATGTGTGTAGATTTGCATTTATAAACTATTTTATTTATTTTTAGTTTAAAAGTGTATTATTTTCCATTACATTTCAACTATTAAAACACAACACAATAATTGTTTTATTTAAACTATTTTGTGTCTAATTTTTTTGTGTTATGTTTTTCTATWGSAAACACAYACACACACACACATACACACACACACATACACACACACATATATACATACATAYACACACATACATATACACACACACAAACACACATACACACACAAACACACGTATCTAACAAAACATAAAATCATTGTTGATTTAGTTTAAACATTATTTATTATGTGGTGTCTCTATCTCTATATACTGTATATACACTACACATATGTCCTACAGAGATATCCAACCGTCACATATAATAATATAAGAGACACACAGTTTGTAAATGTCATTAATTCTCATTAAGTGAAAAGGATAGTAGAATTAGATATATATATATATATATTTAATTTATGTCTTTATTTAATTGTTTTGGACACACATTTATATATATAGCTGATCCTTAAAACTTAGTTAACAGAGACAGACAGACAAACAGACAGTCAATGTCTGAACATTATGTGAAAGTGTATGTAAAGGGATAGACAGATAGATAGGACGGACACATACATAGTATGTTGAATGAGGCACTGGCAGTGGCCGGACTTAGCCACGAAACGTGATAGACTTGACATATGATTATCTTATTGTTCAGGTCTTGGGTGGCATTGATGGTCAGTATACTGATGGCCATCGATACGTCCTCTTCGGCCGAATATTCCATCAGTAGTTTGCTCTGTTCGGTAATATTCTGGTGCGACAAATACCAGTAAACATGTTTGACTGGTGGGGCCGCCCCTCTGACCACACAATTAACATTGACGACAGTATTCTCCCGCACGGTCAGTGTCGAGTGGTCGTCCATACGGCGGCCCTCAAACTCAATGTATGGATTTTCGGGAATATCTGTCAATAAAAAAAATGAGAAAAAATAATTAATTTTTGCAAAAGAAATTGATTATCAAAAGAAAGCTAAACACGTATTCATTCAGTCATTCATTCAGTCATTTATTGATTATTAGTTTAGGAGTTACGACACATATAACACATACAAAAAATTAATGAATAGACAGATTATAACAATAAATATCTATCTATTGATATATTAAATACAACAACGATTAGTCAAACAATAGCAACAACAACATACTGGTGACAACTAATCTCATGACCAGAGCCTTATGTTTGATGACTCCCTGGCCGTCCAGTTCCCAGCACTCCCACAATCCTTCATCTATTTTTGCCACCCGATTGATGGTCAGTCCTGTCTGGCCGTCGTTTGTTATATTCCAGTGGCGTCTCTGTGTTGGACTGAAGTCCTAAAATTAATCACAAAAAAAGACAACAACAAAAAAAATGAGAGATAAAAACATATTTTATTGTTAAATAAAATGTTAGATACTTTTCTGGAGCACAATATATATATTTCATACATTCATTCATTCATTACATGAGAGAGAGAGAGAGAGAGAGARAGAGAGAAAGAGAGAGATATCTGTAATAGTAATCTATGATAACTGAATGTAAGCCAATATTTTTGCCGATCAATCATTTGCTTTTGATATATATTGTTATTATTATTATTATTATTATTCATTGATCACTGACTCGTGTGTATGTGTATTGTATTCACCCAACAAAAAAAACTACATATTCTTATATAATTCTCATACAAAAAAAAATAAAAATAAAAGTAATACTCATATCGATAATAATAAACGGTGTGAGCTATATATATATATATATATCCTAACAACAAGTATTCATGCAATATATGAATAAAATAAGGGAAATGATTAAAAAAAAAACAGAAAACAAAACGCAAAAAAAATCCTAAATTAAATTTAAATTATTAAATGCATCGAAATATATATATATATATATATATAATATATATATATATATATATATATAGGATTTTTAATCCCTAAACGACAAATAAAACGAGAATCGATAGACAATATGAAATGTAATAGAAATTTACGGGATAGGGATATAAAAATTTTATTATAATTTATATATGACTATAATATRGATAGGGATTGAATAGGGAAAGGGTGTGTGACTATGAGTACTAACTAACTGACTGACTATCTGAGTGAATGATCTGACAAAATCTCAGAGAGARAGAGAGAGAGAGAGAAACCAAAAATGAGTAAAAATATTGTGATCACACATACAGTAAATACTATATATATATATCTATATTCATTGGTACGTAAAATAAGGGATTAATTTATTTTGAACACAAATCCGGCCGCTAAGCCCTAACTGTCCATTTGAATAGTTAGTTAGTCTACTAACTACTACTACTACTAGTAGTTATCCCAACTGTAAATCTGCACACACACAAAAAGCTGTATTTCCCTATTTTCTATCTGGTTATTCTCAGTATATTATTGTAGATGAAAAAAAACTACATGTGTCAGCACACACACACACACACACTTACCAATAAAATAGGTTTTCCATTTTGAACCCATTGGACAGAACCGCCCGGTGTTAAGCCAAGTGAACAGGGAATGTTGAGCCTATCGCCCGGATTAATCATTTTGGTAATCGCCTCATTCATGGCTGACTTATCCGATCCATTATCTCCTACACCACCACTACAGTCCACGTCTATTATAATAAAAGCAAAATACAAAACAAAAAAAAATTTAATACAATTGAAACAAAACATTGTTTTTTTTGAATATAAATTTTTTATATTTTATTATTAACTCATATATAATATACTGTATATATATATAGACTATAATAATTTATGGTTATAATTGTAAATTTATATTATATTTTTTTTGTATGATTGTACTGATAATGTGCTTTTAGATATGCTATAAGCAATTTATATGTTTGTCATATAAATACTGTATATATATACAGTATATACATGTTTATGTCATTTTTAATATCATGTATGGCCCTTACAATTATAATATAAATAAAATAATTATATTAATTAGATACTTATATATATACATATATTTGTAGTATATATTTATACTGTATATACATTAATTGGATATATAAACTTTAATAGTAATTTATATTGAATTAGAAAATATTTATATACAAATTTCAATTTATTATTTCATTTTTGATATAAATAATGTCAAATTATATTATATATATATATATTAGAAATTTACTAAAAAATTATTATCAATATATTGTATATATCTTTAATTAAGTAAAAGCAACAAAAAATAAATATTAATGTAAATAAATATATGAAATTAATTAATTAATTAATTAATTTCATAATATTTTTTGCTAACATTCTACTACTAATAATAATAATAACACAAAATTGTTTGCATTTTTCTTTAACAAAACACATGTGATATTACTTTATACTTATTATAATACAATGCCAATCAATACTTATTATAATAATACACAGTAATATAGGATATATATATATAAAATATAAACTAAAATATAATTTATACTACCAAAAAAACTAAAAAAATAAAATGAGAATGATATAAATTGCATTAATTTTATTTTCAATAATTTATATGTTAATATCATCATAGACTGTGTGTGAATATAGATTGTATATTATACGATACAAAAAGTGTTTAAACTTTTTTTTTATTTATAAAAAAAACTATATTATAATATTCATAATAAAGTTTGCATTTAATTTAAAAGTGTTWGAGAAAGAGAGAGAGAGAGAGAGAGAGAGAGAGAGAGAGAGAGAGAGAGAGAGAGAGAGAGAGAAAATTAAAGCTATAATCAATTATCAGTTGTTTTTTTCTGTACATATCATTCATAATGATCAACGAAAACTAAACTTCAACTAAAGCATAGATGAAAATAAATTAATGATTTGAATCAGTGATCATCATTTAAAATCATAGTCTCTCTCTCTCTCTCTCTCTCTCTCTCTCTCTCTCTCTCTCTCTCTCTATGCCTATTGCTTAGGCATTAGAGAGCGACTCATTGGGCGCCGGGTGCCAGAGTGAGAGGTAATGCACTGTCAAAACTCATTTCCTGTCCTTAAGTTAGCATATAATGGATTGTATGGGCTTTTTTGAGTACTACTACTACTACTACGACTACTACAGTACTATTTGGGTGAACTGTACTGTTCACCCAAAATAATAATAATAATAATAAATAAAAGCTAACCCACACTCACTCACACACACTTAAAGTAGTACTAACTCACTATCAATCACTGCTTAAACAACTCATATACCAACCAACAAAAAAAATAAGTCATACCAATCATCATAAACTATAAACTATTGCATCCTTTTTTGGCCATAAATTGGATACTGTTTTTCCGTTAGTGAAAGAGAGAGAGAGAGAGAGAGAGAGAGAGAGAGAGAGAGAGAGAGAGAGAGAGAGAGAGAGAGAGAGAGAGAGAGAGATGATGTTTACTCAAAAAATTAATGAATTATTAAATCAAACAAATATTACATATGACAAGTAATAATGTATATATACTTTATATATATATATATATATAAATCTTATCATTCAATTACATCATATTTAATATTAGATAAATATAAAATTGACACAAAAAAATATGTTATGTTTATCATCTAATGTTAGTTTTTATTGTACAGTATAATACATTATATTATTGTATTAATTCAATATATAATTTTTTTTGTTGTTGAAAGTTTATTGGCATATATAAATCTGGTAAAAATATATTGTTGGCATTTAATTTTTTTATTTTAATATATATATATATATATATATACAATTTTATCCATATTTATATATATATATAAAAAATCTCAACTATACTAAAAATATTGAATTGCAATTAATTTTACAACAATTTTTTTTCTAAAAATTTTATCTAAATTAGTTTTACATATTGTATCAAAATATGTATAGCATTTTGTCGACAACAAAAAAAAATAATGATATAAAAAACATAAACCAATAAAATTATATAAATTGCATACTAATCATAATCATACACTCACTGTATATAATATTATACAGTATATAATATGTTAAAATGTTGGAGGGCTTCAAAAAAAATATAATATAAAAAAAATAAATTTATATTTCACACTCATTTAAACAATTTTGATGTGTGTGTGTGTGTGTGTGTGCTATCAGCACAATACAGTACATACACACACAATTAGTAGTATATAACTGTACTGTAGATATATTCCCCCCTCCCCTCTCGACAAAAATAAAATTGACTTCAAATTATTTCCATATAATTTCTCAAAAAAAAAAATTTCAATATATATATAATAAAGTACCGGATTTTTTGTTGAAGATTTTATTAGATTTAAATGCAATCAATACAACTACTACTAGTAGTAGTAGTAAACTAATAATATAATTAATTATACGCTTAAATACGCTTAAATATGTTGTGTGTAAAATGCAAAGCGAAATAATATTTCATAATTGTTTGATTTTATAGTTATTTATTAATTTATATATATAAAAAATATTTAATTATAAAAAAAAACTTTCATGAAGGAAAAGTTTGTCGATAATTATATTTTTTTTTATTAATGCATTTATATATACAGTATATATATAATACCAGTACCTAAATAACATACCAGTGCTAGTGACACTCCTTGTGCCCTTCAAAACAACAAAAATTATATTATATTAGTCCCCGACATAACTTTTATTTTATATATATATATATATATATATATATATATATATATATATTAAAAGATAATAAAATAAATAAATATACATAAAAAAAATGGTTTACTGATCTGGTATGTAGTGATAACATATCAACCAAAAAAATATATATATAGTATTTCAAAGTGAAAACATGATTTAAAAAATAATAAATTTATACTTTTTAGTTAATATGAAAAAATGTGATAATTTTTTTACAGTGATAAAACAAAAATATTAAWATAATTTATTTTCTCAGAGGAGGTGTGGCAAAAATTCAAACAAAATATTATTTTTTTCATTATACAAAAAAAATTTGATATAATTTTTTGATTTATAAAAAACTAAATAAATAAAAGTTCACATCATATATATATAACATAAATATATATTAATTTCATTTTCAGTTTAATTATTACAAAAAAAAACTTATATATTTCAAAAAAAAATCATTGGATATCAATTTACAACAAAATATTTTTCGTTAGAAAAATATTATTATTATTATTATTATTTTTAGTTTTTTTTGCAATATCTTAATGTTGTTTTTTTGTTCAAATTTTATTAATACAAAAAAAAATTGTACTAGCATAATTGCAATATAAAATTTATCATTATAAAATATCAATAAAAAATAAATAAATAAAAACTTTTTAATAACCAATAATTTTTAATTTGATAGAAATTTCACCAAATTTTATTATTATTATTATTTTATTTTATTTCAATTTAATTTTTTTGTTATTGAAATACACAGGTAATAGTGTTATAMTTTTCTAAATTATATTTTWAATTTTTTTTACAAAACTATAAAAATGATCAATATTTTAAAAAAATTGTTAATTACTGATAAATATTTTTTTTAAAAATGTAATAATAAAAGTATAAGTATTTTATAGTAATTTGAAACTATAGTAATATATATTTTTAAAACTATTCAAAAGTGAATTTTGAAAGTCTATTGATCTTTTAAAATTAACTTTCAATAAAAATTTATTTATTTTTTTTATAATATATATTATTATTTAAATACTGTATCAATGATAGAGGGGTAGAGACACATCAATAATGGTTATCTTTGTTAAGAAATTTTTTTTTTTAATTTAATGATATTATATATTCAAGCAATATATTTGCTACATATAATCAATTGATGTGAATGTCTATTATATGATATCAAATGTAAATCATTAGATGCCGTGAATAATATTATATAATATATGCATTGACTTTATATATATATATATAYATATATACAGTATATATGCTATAACTTGAGCGATGACGCCCTTCTCTGGTCATCTCTCTGATTGCCATTCAATATATATAGATATAAAGTATATATAATATATATATATATATATATATATAAATTTATATAACAAAACTGCTATTCATATCATATATATAAAATGTTTTCAAATAAAATATAAAGTGATACTACAGTAAAAAAATCTAACTATAAAAATAATATTAAATACTTTAAATTGAGTATTGAATTGATTGCCACAAATCTATTTCAATCAATTACTTTCAGTGTGTGTCTGTCTATCTATCAGTTTTGTATTTGAGTGTTATGTGTGTGTGTGTGTGTGTGTGTATGTGAACTCATGTGTTCAAYGAAAGCACGATATATACTGTATATACACAACACTTAAGATAGTTTGGTTGAGGGGTAAAGGAAATCACAAAAAAAATTAAATTTGAAAATAAAATTGAAACTTAATTTGACAGAACCTCTCTCTCTCTCTCTCTCTCTCTCTCTCTCTCTCTCTCTCTCTCTCTCTCTCTCTCTCTCTCTCTCTCTCTCTCTCTCTCTTTCTCTCTCTAAACGATAATTTATTTCTTCAATGAAGTGAATATATATTTTGTTTAATACAATGAAAGGTAGAGATCATTAGATTTATAGTTTCAACAAAAAATAAAAATAAAAAATAATTTAAGAGATTGTTATTCCGTTTGAATAAATTTAATCATTTCTCAAA